AAGTCCAAGCTGCACTAAAGGCATTGGCAAAAAACTAGTCTCCAGGAATTGATGGAATACAAATTGAGATGTTTCAACAAATGGATGCAGTGCTGGAGGTGGTCATTCATTTATGCCAAGAAATTTAGAAGACAGCTTCCTGGCCAACTGACTGGAAGAGATCCATATTTGTACTCATTCCAAAGAAAGGTGATCCAACAGAATGCAGAAATTATTGAACAATATCATTAATATCACATGCAAGTAAAAATTTGCTGAAGATAATTAAAAAATGGTTGCAGCAGTACATCGATAGGGAACTGCCAGAAATTCAAGCCACATTCAGAAGAGGATGTGGAATGAGGGATATCATTGCTGATGTTAGATGGATCTTGGCTGAAAGCAGAGAACGCCACAAAGATGTTTACCTGTGTTTTATTGACTATGCAAAGGCATTTGACTGTGTGGATCATAACAAATTATGGATAACAATGTGAAGAATAGGAATTCCAGAACACTTAATTGTGCTCACGAGGAACCTATACATAGACAAAGAGGCAGTCATTTCAACAGAACAAGGGGATACTGCGTGGTTTGAAATTAGGAAAGGTGTGTGTCAGGGTTGTATCCTTTCCCCATACTTAGTCAATCTGTATGCTGAGCAAATAATCTGAGAAGCTGGACTATATGAAGAAGAATGAGGTTTATCAGGATTGGAGGAAGACTCATTAACAACCTGTGATATGCAGATGACACAGCCTTGCTTGCTGAAAGCTAAGAAGACTTGAAGCACTTACTCATGCAGATCAAAAACTTCAGCCTTTAGTATGGATTACATCTTAACATAAAGAAAACAAAAGTCCTCACAAGTGGACTGATAAGCAACATCATGATAAATAGAGAAAATATTGAAGTTGTCAAGGATTTCATTTTACTTGGATCCACAGTTAGCGCCCACGGAAGCAACATGACATATTGCATTGGGCAAATCTTCTGCAAACGATGTGTTTAAAATGTTAAAAAGCAAAGACATCACTTTGAGGACTAAGGTGTGCCTGACCCCAAGCCATGATATTTGCAATTGCCTCATATGCATGCGAAAGCTGGACAATGAATAAGGAAGACCAAACAAGAATTGATGCCTTTGAATTACGGTGTTGGTGAAGAATATTGAATATACCATGGACTGCCAGTAGAATGAACAAGTCTGTCTTGGAGGAAGTACAGCCAGAGTGCTCCTTGGAAGCGAGGATGGCGAGACTTCGTCTCATGTACTTTGGACTTGTTATCAGGAGGGACCATTCCCTGGAGAAGGACATCATGCTTGATAAGGTAGAGGGTCATTGAAAAAGAGGAAAATCCTCAATGAGATGGATTGATACAGTGGCTGCAACAATGGGCTCAAGCATAACAACGATTGTGAGGATGGCACCGGACCAGGCAGTGTTGTGTTCTGTTGTGTGTAGAGTCTCTATGAGTCATAACCAACTCGATGGCACCTAACAACAACAACATATTAAAGAAAGATGTGTGTTCTTCTATGATGAGGATATGATTTTATGGTCATGAACTATACCAGTTATACCAGTTGCTATTGAGGGGATTCCAACTCATGGTGACCTCATGTGTGTCAGAGTAGAACTGTGCTCGCTAGGGTTTTCAATAGCTGATTTTTTGGGAAGTAGATCACCAGGCTTTCTTCCAAGGTGCCCATGGATGGACTTGAACCGTCAACTTTTGGGTTAACAGCCTAGTACATTAATCGTTTGCACCACCCAGGAACTCCGTACATGAACTAGGAGCGGCCTTAAAAGACAGCTAGTCTGTTTTGGTGTGTGGCCTAGAATTAAGGTACCTTATTGTTTTTCCTTTTTTTTTTTTTTTCAATAACTAAGACAATAGTTTACACACAGTGAAATGCAGATAGCACAGAACCGGACATTTGGGACTGCTTTAATAGCCAGATTCTAATCCTGACTCAATGGCAACTAACAACAGTTATATATGCTTAAAAAATGTATCTCAAAATTTGTTTCAAAGCCACCCCTTTGCATACTCCACACCACCCCTTCTCCATGCTGGCTTTGCCAGCTACGGACAATAGCTGAGCTAAGCCGGCCTGGAGCAGTCAGCATGTGTAATGGAAAACACACTGGCTTTGGAGTCAGACTCAGGTTCAAACTCCAGCCTAGACCTGCATATACTCTCTTAATGCTGTGAATTACATTGATTGATTTTCAAAAGTTAAACCAACTTTGCATTCCTGGGTAAACCCCACTTAGTCATGACATATTATTTTTATACATTGCTGGATTTGATTTGCCAAGATTGTGTTTAAAATTGTTGCATCCGTGTTCATCAGAGTATTGGTCTATAATTTTCCTTTCTTGTAATGTCTATGCCAGGGTTTGATAGCAGGGTTTTGCTGACCTTATAAAATGAGTTAGGAAGTGTTCTTTTTTCTATTTTCTCAAATAGTTTGTATAAGATGGGTATTCTTTCTTTCTTAAATGTTTCGTTGAATTTTCCCCAGTGAAACTGTCTGGACCTGGAGATTTCTTGGTAGAAAAGTTTTTGATTGTAAATCTAATTTCTTTAGTAGGTATAGGGGTATTCAGATTTTTTATTTCTTCTTATACTAGCTTTGATAAGTCGTATTTTCAAAGAATTTGCCCATTTCATCTGAGTTGTCAAATTACTGGCATAAAATTGTTCATATTCCTCATTATCCTTTTAATTAATCTTTTCAAAGAAGCAACTTTTGACTTTATTTTCTTTATTGTTTGTATGTCATTAATTTCTGCTTTTATTTCTATTATTTCTTCCTTACTTTGGGTTTGATATACTCCCCTTTTTCTAGCTTTCTAAGTTAGAAATTTAGACAATTGAATTTATATCCTTCTTATTTCTAATATAAGCATTGATAGCTACAAATTTCCTTTTTAAGCACTGCTTTATCTGTATCTCATCAATTCTGATATGTTTTATTTCCATTATCATTCAGGTGGAAATATTTTAAAACTTCTGTTCTAATTTCTTCTTTGACCCATAGGTTATTTGGAAATGTGTTATTTAATTTCCAAATGGGGGGCGTTTCTATCTTATTTTCGTAATTTCTAATTTAATTTTGTTGTAGGTATCTGCTAAATCCATTCAATGATTTTTTTCATCCTGTATCTTATATTTCAGTTCTAGAATTTCCATTTTGGTTATTTTTTATAGTTTCCAAATCTCTGCTAAGACTCCCTATCTGTTTACCCACCATGATGTTTTTCCCTCGAAGTCCTTAGACATACTTACAGTAGCTGCTCTAGCTTCTTCTCTGCTAATTCCAACATCTGGACCATCTCTGAGTCAGTTTCGTTCTTTCTTGATATGGGACACATTTTCCTGTTTCTTTGTATATTTAGTAGTTTGTGTGTGTGTGTTTTAATTGTAAACTGGACATTGTAGATGATATATTCATCTGGTTTCTGTTATCTGACTCTGCAGAGCATTCATTGACTTTTAGTTAGATTGCTAGCTGAGTCCCTTGAACTTGTGGAGACTTGCTCTTACTTTGTTAGGACTAGTCTCTTTCAGATTTTGCCATTAATCTTAGGGCAAACCCCTTAGTCTTGGGGCAAATCCCTTAGTCCTGGGCCATGGTCTTCTAGCATAGACCTTTTGGGACTTCAGTGGCAAGTCTGAGGTATATCTCAAGCTTCTCAATTTAATTAATGGAGCTCACACTCTGAACTATACTGTTCTGCAGTGGGAAGCAGCAGAAACAGCTTCTGAGCTATTTCAACCTGCTAAAATCCATTGCCAGAGTAGAACTGCCCCATAGGGTTTCCTCGGACCAGCTAGTGGATTCAAACTGCGGACCTTCTGGTTAACAGCCAAGCTCTTAACCACAGCGCCACCAGGGCTTTCACCCTGCTGCTTTTTGAGGCTTCCTGGAATCTCCCTTGAGCATGTACACTTCAGGTGTCAGTCAAGAATCTGAAGGGAGTTTATATGCAGATCTGGGGGCTTCTCCTGTATGTCTCTTCCCTCTCCAAGATTTCCCTGAGTTTTTATCTACTGTGGCAGCCCTCAACTCTGTCCTATGTTGCCTGAATCTAAAGAGACCTAGCTTTCTGCTTGAGTTCTAGTTACTCCATGATGCACAGACTGGAGAGTGCCCCAAGGGAAAAACCTTTTAAAGGTTTTCTTTCAAAAGATTAATTCCCTTCCAATTTCTGCGTGGCCAGGTTATTTTTTCTAGGCATTTAGGAACTCCTGTATTTCTGAGGGCTATTCTTTGCTTAAGGAGCCCTGGTGGCACAACAGTTAAGTGTTCGGCTGCTAACTGAAAGGTTGGTAGTTCGAACCCATCCAGCAGCTCCACAGGAGAAAGACCTGGCGATCTGCTCCCATAACGATTACAGCCTAGAAAACCTTATGGGGCAGGTTTACTCTGTCACGTGGGGTCACTGTGAGTCAAACATTGACTTGATGGCACCTAACAACATCCTTTGCTTTAATTCCTTTTGTTTATTCAGTTATGTTCATTTCTGTCAGACATCTGCATATTGTTTGTATGGAAAAGACCAAAAAAAAAACAAAATAAATCACTGAGAGCCAAGGATGCCGCCATCACTCCAGACCTTTTAGTCACTTCTTTCGGCGGCTGCCAGGTTCTAATTCATACAAGAGTTTCATCCTCAACCTAAAGTGCGATGCCTTCCTGTGTCATTCGCCAGACTGAATTCCTTTCAGTATACAGGAAAAAAGAACTCTAACAAATCAAATTTCCTTCCAAAGGGCAGAGATTAAAGATATTTGAATGAATGTTCTACTGGCTCTGAAGGCAAGTTCCAAGAATTCCAAAATCGTTTTGGGCCACAGGAACATCTTTAGAATGAGCAGATACTCCTGAGGTAATTTCTTTGCCCGGGAGAGCGGTCACTTGAATGTTCAAGATCTGGCACGGGTGAACTCATCTATAATCGACCGCAGCCCTGCTGTTTACAACATAGGGCCGAAGTTGGGGTTAATGAGTTATTCGTTGTCATCTTCTCTAGGTGGAGCGAAAGCCTGTGATGGGAGCGTCGGCCCTGAGCAGCACCACGAGCTTCCGCTTATTTTTAATCTAGAAGACGATAGTGCTGAAGACGTGCCTCTAGAAAGAGGTGGTACCGAATACCAGACCGTACTGCCCCAGGTCAGAAGGGTTCTTGCAGATGTCCTTCAGGACATTTCTGAGGACAACACCTCCAGCGCGGATTACACTCAGGATCCTTCAGTAGCTCCCTGCTGTAATCCCTACCGAATGGCCTGCCGCTGCCAAACCACGTAACACACGGATTTGTCCACAGGAGGGATATTGGGAAGGTGGATGGGGCTGGCTCATTTCCAAGCTTCGGTTTTACCCTCTCTACAGTTACACCACTCGTCTGTCAGTTTGTCCTTCTGCGGTGGCTTGTGTGGAAGCTATGTCACCAGTATTTCAAATACCAGCAGGGTCACCCATGGTGGACAGGTTTCAGCAGAGCTTCCAGACTAAGACAGAGTAGGAAGAAAGGCCTGGTGATCTACTTCTGAATATTAACCAGTGAAAACCCTAAGGATCACAACAGAATACTGTCCGTAGTGCTGGAAGATAGCACAGGACCAGACAATGTTTGGGACTGCCTTAACAGCCAGATTCTAATCCTGACTCAGTGGCAACTAACAATGGTTACGTAAGCTTTAAAAATATGTCTCAGAATTTTGTTTTGCAGCCACCCCTTTGCGTACTCCACACCACCCCTTCTCCATGCTGGCTGTGCCCTAACCAGCTACAGACGACAGCTGAGCCTAGCCGGCCTGGAGCAGTCAGCGTGTGTAACGGAAAGCACGCAGGCTTTGGAGTCAGACTCGGGTTCAAACCCCAGCCTTTGAACTTGGGCAGTTTAACCTCTCAGACTTTTAGTTTCATTAGTAACTACCTTGCAAGCCGATTCTGAGGGTTAAATAAGGCAGTGAATGAACATGGCGGGCATATTACCTGACACAGACAGGCTCTCAATACATGTTAGTTTCCTCGTTATGTCCCCAGTTTCGCTGGCCATTTTAGCACCAATTCATTCCAACCGATATCAGGAACAGCACATCTCCATCTTTAATATGCCTACAAATCACCTGGGGATCTTGTGAAAATGTAGATCCTGATTCAGCTGGTCTGGGATAAGGCCCGAGAGCCTGCATGTCTAGCAAGCTGGTGGGGAGGGAGGGGTAGGAAGGGCCCTTTGAGTAGCAACGATCTAGACAGACAAAGTTAGATTTGTTTCTAGAATGCTGTCCGATATAGTGCTGGAAGATGAAGCCCCCTAGGTTGGAAGGCACTCAAAATACACAGTGGCTGCAACCAACGACTTGAACACGCCACCGATCGTGAAGGTGGCGCAGGACTGGGCAG